TGCACGGATTTCGTGCACCGGGCCACCAGTAAATACATAAAGAACCAAGTTCCGCCCCTGCCTTTGCTCAATGGGGATGGGAAGCCACCGTAGAACTCGAAGGCGGAAAGGAGGTGGTGGGTGGTAAGGACTTGGTGGGCTCTGCTGACTCTGGGGATAATCTTGCAGCCTGGGGTCCTTTCAGCTGTTCACGGTTCCCTGGCCGCTGGGTGGGAGGACGATAGGGAAGGAATTTAGAATCTCGGACAGGGGTTCCCGCCGCTCGTCCCTCACGTGTTGGCTTGGTGACCGTGAGCAAGGCCCAACTCCTGGGTTTCGATTTGGGAAACATCCATGAACAAAACAGAAGACCTGTACAGATTTATTGCTCTAATGGGGGAGATACGGTTGGAAAACAGCTTTTTTTAAATATATTTTTAATTGATTTTTTACAGAGAGGAAGGGAGAGGGATAGAGAGATGGAAATATCGATGGGAGAGAGACATCCATCAGCTGCCTCCTGCACACCCCCCACTGGGGATGTGCCCACCACCAAGGAACATGCCCTTGACCGGAATCGAACCCGGGACCCTTTGTTCCCCAGGCCTGCGATCTGTCCACTGAGCCACACCGGTCAGGGTGGAAAACATAATTTTTTATGCTGGGAGTTGGAAGACAGTAGTAAGTGGTGGAGACAGGAGAAAAAGTAGTCCCGGCCCGTGTGGCCCAGTGGTTGAGCGTCGACCTAGGAACCAGGAGGTCAGGGTTCGAGTCCCGGTCAGGGCACAGGCCCGGGTTGTGGGCTCGACCCCCAGTGTGGGACGTGCAGGAGGCAGCCGGTCCATGATTCTCTCTCATCATGGATGCTTCTCTCTCTCTCTCCCTTTCTCTCTGTCTAAAACACTCACACACACACACACACACAAAATTAATAAAGTTTTAAAAAGGCTAAAACTAACATAATCCAACGTATATTTGATTTTTTTAAATTTTATTTTTATTGATTTGAGAGAGGAAAGGAGAGAGGGAGGGAGAGAGAGACATCAGCGATGAGAATCATGGACCGGCCGCCTCCTGCGCGCCCCACACCGGGGATGGAGCCCACAACCCGGGAATCCCATGCCCTGACCGGGAATCAAACCGTGTGACCTCGGGTGGGTCAAACAGTCAGTGCCTAACCACTGAGCCACACCAGCCGGGCTCCGACTTAGGTTTTAAAGGATCGTTCCGGCCGCCGTGTGGCGAGCAGACCAGAAAGACAAGAGGCGTCAAGGCAGGGACCCCTCTGAGGAGGAGGCCCTGGCTGAACCCACGGGCCCGACAGCAGCCACTCGGACCAGGGTGATGGGGTGGAGGCCGGGAGAAGCGGTCCCCTTCTGGATATATTTTGAAGGGGCCCCACTGGTTTCCTGGTAGATGGGGGGGCAGGGTAGGAGAGAGAGTTGGCGATGATCACACGTCCTGGGGGCATCAGATGAGGGTTCAGGGCAGAGGCGGGGGGTGCCGGGGGAGGATCGCATTCGGGGACTCGTCATCCCGTCAATGATACTTAGAGCTGAGGCTGATCAGGGCGTGGGCACAGAGCAGCGGGCGGCCCAGGCCGGGCACGGAGTTCAAGGAGAAGGAAGTGGAGGGAGGAACCGTCGGAGGCCG